TATAGTTAGAATCTTTTTCCACAATAGGCAGCAAAAACTGTAAGTTGTGGACTGACATCATTTATCTTATTACATAATATATGCCACATGATCATAATTAAACAATTAAATTAAAATCATGACAAAAATGCCAATATAAAGTCAATAACAAAAAGCATGATTTTATGAAAACAACTGAATTACACAGAGATCTGGGAAACTTACTCAGTAAAAATTAACCTGAGAACTGAGGGCACACCTTTTGACACATCATCGGGGTGCCTAAACTTTTGCATAAGACTGTATGTGGCTGTAAAGCTAGAATTACTGTGTATTTTATATCAGAGCTGAAGTGTTTACCTTTGCTTCCAGACCCCACTGTCAGTACAAAGGGAATAAGCAGGTTGAGCAGCATCCCCTCTCGCCTCTCTTGATTGGTAAAAGGTGAGATCACATGACTGAGAGGGAAGTCATCCTTCAAAGCCTAGGATGGGAAAAATGGAAGAAGCAAAAGTTAAGCACTTATTAGGTAAATTGAACAGATTATTTATGGGTGGCTTTTTGATGAAGAGTTAGTTGAGGCCCACCTGAATCTGCAGGGCCACCAGCCGGACCACTGCTGTGCTGAAGGGCAGTGGAGGGGAGAGGTAGGGGCTGAGATGGAGCAGAGGTAGCCCATCTGCCACACTGGAGGGTCCAACCACACCCATCACCTGACAACACATGTAAATTATATCTTAAAAACCATGCCAAGAACCTGGGAGGTAACAGAACAGTTGTGGGTTGCCATACCAGGTTGACGCAGACATTGATGAGTGATCGAAGGTGTGGGAGGAAAGAGATGATTGGCTGTCGTTGCAGGGTCAGACAGATACCTTCAATCAGGCTGCTGGCTGCCTCCCACTCCACCTGTCTCCTGGAAGACACACAACCATACACCACCATCCCGCACGCAAATAAAAGAACATTGTTATGGATTGAAATAAAAGATAAACAAGAATGCCACATTCAAGTCATGTGGGATGAAAAGAAATTATACACTGTTTACTAGAAAAAGACATTCTATCAGGCATGGCTTGAGTGCGGCATAACATCCACATTATCAAATAGATACATCTTTAAAGCAGCGAAGCAATGATTACCTCACATGTACGTAATCACAACCTTTATGACCTGAATAAAGGCCCTGACAGCAATATCGCAAAGCTCACAAACATAGCCAACTCAACACTGCAGCAGCAACAGATCCAGGTGTAAAGCACACACACCTGTGACCAGTGTTCCCTCTGATTCAATGGAGTCACGTGAAGTAATGGAAGAGGAGCAAGGTTTTCATATATGTTTATTTTTTTGCATTACTTTTGCTGCATCCTGTTCAACTTGTGAAGAGTCCTAGTTCATAAAAATCTTAACTGGGTTATTCACAGCAAATCAGAAAAGAAAAAGAAATCTTGCATGCAGGCAACTTGACACACCAAATAACAGATGCAGTATTGCACAAGTGGTATATGTACCTACACTCTGTCATGTAATCTCATATACAAGCCCCGGAAGAGACTTAGTGAAACTTGTAATGTAAAATGTTTGTTGATCCTGTACCCATGGCGAGTTGTGAGGCTGTTTCTGGTGTCGTTAAATGTGTTGGAACAGTTTACTTTTACATACAGTAGTTAAATGTCTCTCCTATAGTCCAATCAAAATTGTATTCCAGCTTACAATATTACAGCTAAAGGGTAATATTATATGTAAGTGCTGAGAGGTGCCATAGAAAAAATATCTGTGGAATAGACCGTTCATTAAAATTTGCCATATTTCCAGCTGTAAATTAGAGCAATTAAGTACATTATGAAACATCTCAATACTTGCTATTATATTTGAAGATTTACTTTTATTATACACATTTGAAATATTTCAATATGTTTATTTGTTTAAATATATTTTTTGTAAAACTTTAACAAAGGATTAGCATATGAACAAGTGTCCAAAGAACAAAGCTTAAAAAGAAAAGTATTAGCAAGTACCCTATTAGGTAAAATAGCAAGAGTTTTGGTATCGGAAATGACACCTCTAACTGCATGCTAACATCCCCACTGTAGTGCTGGTCTCAATTAAAAATGTACAACTCTCTTACTGGACACCACTGACTTAGAGAGAACACTGCCAGCGATCCATTCTTAGTACACACATCTTCACACACTCATGTATGAATGTAATTCCTCACACACCCAGATGTGCCTGCACAATAACAGACCACAGCAACACTTACGGTACATCACCCATGAAGGCAGCGCTACAGAGGACAGTACCAAGAAGCTGTCTATCTACTGTACACACCACGGCACTGGTACAGCACGATACACTCACAGGGAGAGAATTGAGATTGTATTCAACAGACCTGGTGCATAATGCCTGTGGGCGAGCGCACCTGAGCGTAGGCATCTTGTGGATTTTGTTGAACATGCGGTCCAGCCTCTTGAGGATGAGGATGAGAGCGGGGCGGATGGCCTCGGAGGACCAGTCAGTGATGGGCAGCATCTCCATGATGTAGCGCCGCAGCCCTCGGCTCTCCATGGTCAGGGTGTCGTAAGGTGCGAGCTTCAGCAGGGCGTGGGCGATCTCTGCCAGCCTGGGAAAGACCGAGACAGACGCACAGTCAGTGGAACTTGATAGTGCTGCCTCAGTCCCATTTCTTTTGGCCATTTATATGTATTACTCCATCCAGCTACCACATGTCCTCAAACTGTCCCTCTATTCCCAGTCACCTTACCTTCCCTGCTTACTTATACACCTGTTCCCACTTTCCTCATCATCCCTAGTCAGTGTTTATACAGTACCAGTCACTTCTACCTGCTCCCTGCCAGTTTGTAACATGTTTGTGGCTGTTTGCTTAATTTCCATTCCATTCATGATAGATTATTGGACACACAGATCCACCTTGAGGACATGGTGGTATTTGACTAGAGGTACAAAAGCTGTTATTTGATTGGAGCATTGCCTGTATGACTGGGAAGATAATGTAGGTAGTGAAGATGAATAAGTCACACACTCCCTTCCCCCCTTTGAGAAACAACAATCAACTTATCAGTGAATGTGATGAAAAATGCTTTGAAATCAGTCATAAATCTCCTCACCTCATATGGGACTTGATGTCCAGCAGCTCCAAGGCTGTGACCCGGGGCTCGCCGGCAACATTCTGCAGGATTTTGAGTCGTGGTCCGCACTGTTTGTAAAACTCGGTGCAGATGTTTAAGAGGGACTCCCGTGGCCGGCGGAACTCCTCCCTTGCGATGCGTTCGTCCAGCTCCTCTCTGGGCATGCCCTGGCCCTCCTCCAGCAGGTGGAGATTGTCTCTGGGAACACAAACAGGACCGCAGGCTTGACTTTCACTCTCCACATTTACATCCTATCCATCTATTGTGGAGTTAAATCATGTCCTGCAGCTGAACATGTTATGGTTCTGACCTCATGTTGACCCCTCCTGACATGGCATGGTTGGCTGTAGTGCCTCCCTTATGGCCCTGATCGCAGCGAGACATCTGAGGGGCTGTCATGGGTCTGTGGAGGACGGGTTGATAAAATTATGATGATTGAAAGCATCTAAAAGAATAACATCCTTATCAACAAAACAACATTCTGTTGTGCTCTCACAGGCTGTTACAGGCTAATATCCCAGCCTCATTTTGCTATTTACTTTGTGTTAGCAATGGTGAGAGTCAGACCTGGTGAGGGCCTCTGAGCTGTAGAGCAAGGCCTGTAATGATGTGGCCAAAGCAGCGATGGCTGCAATCTCGTCCCTGGCAGCTGAGGCTGACTCCATTGTAACTGTGTTGCTTTTCAGCTTCTGGAGGTAGCAGGGAACCAAGGCCTCCAACACCATGAGCATCTGGAGACTGGAGAGACACATGCAGATCAGAGTGGAACAGAAAGTAACTGTTAGAGAAAAGCTGTAGATGCAGAACAAGAGGAAGAAGAGGATGCATAGTGTGCGCACATACTGTACCTTCTGAAGGATTCGGGGGCGTAGGCAACTACAGTAACACACAGCTTGATGGCCTCACTGATAGAAAAGGCCAAGTCCTCGTTACCATAACAAAAATCTGGAGGAAGAAAAAAAAGAGCATAACCCTTAATTGGGTTTTGTTTGTAGAATTTAAATTCACAGAGTGCATGAACAACAGTTTACCGAGAGATCGTAGAGGTTTCTCAGCCTTGACGAGCTCCAGAGCATCCAGGGCGTCCTGCGTCTCCCCCTCCAGAGAGACCAGCAGGTCAAAAAGACACTGTGCTGACACTCCTTTGGACAGACCAGTACTGGTGCTGGTCTGCGATGGAAAATGAACACAGAGACAATCAATTAAGCTGAATTCACAAATTGCAGCCAGCCATCGGGGAATAAAAACACAAGGTATGTGTGTATTAGGGAGGTAAAGACCACATTCATTGGAACATGTGTATGTTTGTATGCTTACTGTGAATTCCAGCAGTGGAGCCACACTTGCAAACAGCTGCAGGATGAAAGGTTTGCGGTGGAGGATGTAGAACTGTCGGCAGCAAAACTCAATGCCCTGCCTCAGTAAAGGGTTGCTCTCATAGTCAGCATAAACCTGCCACAGCAATAGAGAGAGAGCATTTTCTTACAACGATGGGTTTGTGACAAAGGACAACGGTAGATATTCTTGACCTGATGGGTGAGAAAAGTGATTTGGGACACAGATTTGTAAGCAACATAATTTATAGGGGTATAAGCAAACTGATTCTGGATTAGCAGTGGTTGGCTTTGTGTAATCATGTGTGTGTGTTGATGTCATTTGTTCTGCATGTTTGAAAGAATAAATCAAATCAAATCAATGATAATTCCTAATCATTATTGTCATTTCTAAGATGTTTGGCATTGTATTTAATCCTGACTTTGACTCCCTTAATTCCACTATTAGAACAAAGGTGGTGTCTCTTATCCATACTGTACTGTATAGATGTGAAGTTTCAGATACATACTATTTACACCATATGACTCCTCCCCTCTCTGCTAAGAAAATTAAACAGTCGTACAGCAAATTTTAAACACTGTAACCAGGTCTTTGTGACATATCCAACCCCAGGTGCTGTTTCCTGTGTTATGCTAGTTAGCACTGTGGGCTACGTTTACATTATTACATTTAGTTATTTTCATTTGCAAACACTGGTTAGTTAAAGAATATAAACAATCAGTTTGCTTGATTTAGAATTTAGTTTATTAATACTCCGGACACAGCAGTATTTGCTAAATGAAGTGCACACGTATAGTTAATGCTGTTTGTCATTTATTTGCTTGTTTTTAGGTGTAATATTAATTTACCTCACTTTGCATTTTGAGTTTCCTGAACTTCCACATCCTGGTTTGGTAAAACATGCGGCTAAGAGTTCAGCCTTCTTATATGCAGAAGCCCAAGCCAAGAACCAGACCAAGAGCTTTGACAGCACAGGGGTGGGGAGTAGGGGTTCTAGTTTAGAGAGGTTGATTATTTCTTTCTTTATGTAAACTGATAAGGCTAAATATCCTGTTTTGTTGTACTGTATTTATAGTCCATTTGTTAATGTTTGTCTTGATTATATCTCTTGTTTCAAAATGGTCTGATAAGCCAGTATTTTATGTTTAGTCAGGTCAGTTTGCTCATTCAGTTTGTTGAGTTATCCTTTGTCTGTAAAGTACTGCCTGAGTCTAGTTTGGTTTAGCCGACCTCTTTTATGGGCCTAGAACTTTATTATATATTTTGTAAATGATTATTTCCTTTATTTTGGGTAAATAAAACCTTTAAAAACATACTTGTGGCTTATCCTGCCTGCCAGCTTGGTCCCTCACATGCTTTTATATGTGCAGACATGCCAAGATTACATGCACTGAAGACTGGTAGCTTTGATACATCACAGCATTTCATTGTTGCTTCGCAATATAATATGGCAGTCCTGTTTTTTATTTGTTAGATTGAATTAATTTGTCTCTTTGGCTTTATTAGCTGCAGAAATGAATTTAGCTGCAGGACACACATATCTGTACTGTACCTGCAGCATAGTTGGCAGGATCCACTGGTAACCACTCAGAGAAAAGAGGTGGTTGAAGTGAACAGCGGTGTTGATGGCAGTGGCTGTGTACTGCCTGAGGAGGGAGCTGTCTTCTGGGTGCAGCAGCAGCGCCCCATTGAAGACATTGAGGAACAGCATCATCTCGTCGCCCCAGGGATACTCACTGGGCATGCCCAGAAACATCTCTTCCAGCAATGTGATCCACAGCACCTTGTGGAGGGTGTCCAAACCAAACAGCTCCTTCCCTGGAAGAGGTTAAAAAATAAAAAATAAAATAATCATAACACTTCTAAGCAAATATACAAGAATTCAGTGTCTCTGTCTCACCTTGTGGCTCATTGAACAAGGAGAACTCTGCGTCAATGGCAGTTCGTGGGAAGGATGGCAGGCGCAGGAGGTCTTCCTGGAGCAGGGAAACATGGGATTGCTTGTGGACAGCTGGCATGTGTTGGGTTAGGGAGATGAGGAAGAGGACACGACCGACCTCCTCTAGTTTACGGGAAAACACCTAGAAAAAGAACAAATAAGAAAAAATGAGTGAAAAAAGCAGACACTAAGACCATGCCTTTATCATGTTGGCTCCCCGATTTCCATTTCTCCAGGGGGTTCATTTAATGCAGACTAATTTCACAGAGACTGAATTGTCAAAGGTTATATCTTCCATACCTGTTTCTGGATAAGCTCCTGTCCTTTCTCAGGTAGCATGCACACCAGGTTGAGCTGGGGAGAGACTGACCTCCGGAAGGGGTAGATGTCTCTTACATATGTCTACAGGTGGTGGATAGCAATTAAATGGAAAATGATAAAACACTGCAATAAAACCAAGATGAGCAATATAGCCCAGCTATTTCTCCGCTGCTGTTGTGTATCAAGACTTAACAGATCACGCACACACAGTTTTCATCCTCCTCCTATTCCAGCTTATGCCAATACTAAACAGCTCATGTAACTGCTGTTGATACATTTGTCAACAGATAAATGAATAAAATGCAACTCCAAATAAAGCCAATTTCATTGTGTCTACCTTGTTATAATGAATAAGGTTCCACCGTTTGTCCATGAGAAAGAAGTGTGCTGATCTGGCTTCAGGGATGTTGAAGAACTCAAGGCACTCCTGATAGACAAAAGAGGAGACATCAATCAGTCAAAATCTTTATTCATCAAGTATACAAGGAATTTCTTTTGGTGCTGTTTCCACATAATAAAATCACAGAAATTATTAACATATCAAAAACAATACAGTACATAAGGGCTATACACAAGTTGTAAGAAGTCTAATAAATTAAACAATATTAATATTAAGGGTGAACAACATTTAAAGTGCATACTGTATATCCACTGACAACAATACACATGATAAAAAAAAAAAAGAGTAAAAATCTGACACAGAAGAGATTATGTCAAGGGAAAGCCATGAGGTGCACTGCGCTATGAATAATAGAGTGCATGTACTGCTACTTAAAGCAGAGAGATGACAGAAGGGTCATTATTTAAAAGGGGAATGGCCTGAGGAAAAAAAGTAAGAAGGTGGTGGCTGGTCCTAGTTTTTAGAGCTCTCACTCTAGGTCTCTTCTTAGCTGGGAACTGCTGGGGGAAAAAAGAGGGACCAGGATGTGAAGAATCAACCAAGAATTTTTCCACCCTCTTCCTCAACTTTGATAAGCAGAGGTCTTTGGGGGTAGGGAGCTAAACTTCTTCCATTAGCTGACTTAAGGTCCCTTATATGACTTAATTGTTTGCTATTTAGTTTCTTTTCATCCAGTGATGAACTTAAATTCCTAGATTACTAAATGTTAGATGGGTCAGAGTCATACCTTGTCTACATCATAGAAACAAAGTGACAGCCCAGTGGGGTCCAGCAGTGTTATTACCTTCAGCAGAGCTTCAAACTGGGTGTCTTCATGGACTGGGAGCTGTGTTGGGATGTCACATTCATTCTGCCCATGCACAACCAGTGTCTTGGTCCCTGCATTGACAGTACACAAGATAAGTATTATTGACGTATTATTGATGCTACAAAAATACTACTTCGGTCTATTTTAATAAAATTTGGCAAATTTGACTCAGCTAGATCTCAACTGTAGATTATATTTGGAGTCTCAGTGAGATATGAAGTTAACCATTAGCATTACTTGCATCCTATCAAAAGCCAGTATTATCACAAACATCAGCGGTATCAGTCACTTCACCTGGCATGGATGCAGTGACCAGCAGTTTGACCTCACACTGTTCCTTCTTCATGGTCTGCTTTAGGTCTTTGAAGAACAGCCCCTCCACATAGCCGACCACCTCCCACAGGAAAGTTAATGTGGCCGAGATGGCGTCCATTCCCCACTCACACGGAGTGCGCACAAAATACATGACCAGTCCCACCTTAGAGTGAAATTTGAATCAGTGGCCTGATGGTTAAATGAAAGTTTAAAGAAAAGTGAAGATAACATTAATAAAGATATGAGTAAAAGAAAATTAGTTTTTTGTTGCTTCACCAGGTAATTGAAGAGGATGTGAGAGGTCTGGGCTGGCAGGTCTCCAATATTGAGCAGGAGCTTCCTTAGCATGTACATGAGCTCATCCTGACAACACAAGGAACACAAGTCATCAGAAGGTACATTTCCCATTTGAGCTTTTAGATGGTGCATTTGTCTCACTTCAGATTCTAACTGATCAGATTTGAAGTCGGGCTTCTTCTTCAGATGTTACCTGTCTATTGCTCACTGTTAGTTTCTCCAGGAAGTGGCGGAGAACCAGTGCCGGATCTTCAATCAGGCAGTTCCACAGGATTTGTTGGGCAACAGCACTCACTAGAGAAACACTGAACTAAGTATCTGTTCTTGCAAATATAGTTCTTGTAAATATAATATACGACCAGATAATAAGAACCGGCCTATGGAGCATTTAGAATGACCCACACATAAATGTATTTTTTGCAACCTGACTGATATAATGTAGAAAAAAAAACCTAGCGTATGTATTTTTTATATTTGTAGCCACAGTGCTGTGCTAATGGTACTTTATTCAATACATTTTATATCTGATGGCTGCAGTGACTCAAAACAAACTGTTTTCCACATGAGACCTACCAGCAACACCATCCTCTCGTACCTCCCCGTCCTCCATGAGGTGTACTATTGGTAGGACTGCAGCACAGATGCATGCTGGGAAGACAGCTTGGGGTGGTTGTAGCATGTGGTGAGTAGGAGTGTGTTCTGTTGTGTTCTCTTCATCTGACAAAAACAATAAATGAACAAATAAAACTTCTCATTAAACACTGAGTTGAGTTTTATTTCAAGCAAACAAAATAGGTCTATGACAAAGGTTACTGTCCTCAGTGGTTTTTTTTACCCACCGTCAGCACTGGCCAGTGAGCGGACAGACCACACAGAGCCTCGACGGAAAGAGTAGTTTCTGTGGGAGTTACTAGAAGCACAGGATGGGCTGACAGACAGGCGGCGTGATGCCAGGTTCACCACTTCTTCTGCTGGTGGGATCAATGTCAGACATGACCAATGTAGACAAAAGGAAAAAACAACATGCTCTCAGTGTACAGAGCAATGTGCCAAATCCCAGACCTCAGTACTTGTGTGTATCTGTGCAACATGTGCTCAAGTGCCCGGTAGGCTCACCTTCTTCCTCTTGCTCGGGCGGTGGGCTGCATGTGGGCTCATAACAGGCCTCCTGAGCCACAGGTATGGCTGTGATGATGCTGGCCTCGCGGCCCAGACGTCGCTTCTCTTCCTCTTGCTGCAGGTTCTTCAGGATGTGCTCAGCTCGCTGGTGGGAACGTGACACTGCTCTTGCCGAGAAGGATTTCTGGAAGGATGGTGGTGTGGATGGTAGAGTTGGATCAAACAGCACAGAGACAAAATAGCACTTGCAGACACAGGAAATTCAGAAATGCAAGAATTTAAACAAAACTGACAGTTTGACTGTTTCAGGAATGCATGTGCACAGCCATTCTACATTTACTGTTACAACTAAGGAGCGTTTTGTAATGTAAAAGGACCAGACAAGAAATGAATACAGTAACTCTCCTCCAGCACATTGAACCCATGCTCTAGTGCTGAATAGGAATTTCAGTCATGACAAATTGTGACACAATTGTATTCAAAGTGGAATATGGAGATTTTACTGTACCTTGTGTGCAGTAAATGCCTCACTGCATTTGCAAGAGTGTTCATACACATATATATTCAAATAGGCTGAACACATGATATGAAAAACATACAGATCAAAATCATTCTCATCCATTGACCATGCATCAACAGCATACCACACACAAAACGTCTGCATGTCCACTGCATGCTTTAATGTTTTTTTCTTACGAACAGAGCAAGGACTAGAGTACTTCTGGAGTGTGGTGTGTATAACTGCTCAAGATGCAACTAGCTGAATGTCCCATGAAACTGCCCCAGCTTCTGATCCATGATGAAAACCTCCACCTCCCGATGACCTAATAACACTCAATGGAGAATATTTTCTCTCCGGTCATTGGTGATCTGAGGTAACAAGATGCATCAGCACAAACATCTGGACAGAAATACCAACTTACTATGGTATGGACTGACTGAATTAATGTGGGATACTAAAAACAAAGACAGTCGATAGACAAATTGTAGAACATGTGCTTGCAGGTCTTCATCAAAATCTATAAAACAATTTTATGATCATGCTTTTTAATAGAATATACAAGAAAGTAAAAGGAAACACCAAGAAACCTGTTTTACCACTTATCACAACTACTGCAAAAATGTATGTTTTTCTAAAATTAGCAGGTTTCTTGGTGCAGTTGTCCACATTACAGAGCATTGCAGAGCAATAACAAATATGTTTTAAAAGTTGTGTCAAAAGTGCATCGTGTCTGCTCTTGGTATTACTGATGCACTCAATCTAAAAATATGTTGCTAATTTTCTATTAGTATTAGCAAGTACTACTGCAAATGTACTGTAAGTATAACTAGGCAACCCATATATACAGGAGTGAGACTTACTGACTGGTCTTCATTGATTGGGTCCTGGACACTGCCAGTGTTCTGTGGCACCCAGGGGGGGTCAAATATGGGCACACAGGGCATGCCCAGTATTGGAGATGGCAGAGTGAAGTTGATGCTGGGTGGAGGGATCTGAAACAAAGGACAAATTTAGAACTAAATGGATCAAAGTAGCCTAGTTTTTGAGATGATATGTTCTAAAGTAAATATCTGTAAGGGCTAAACAGAGCTAACAGTCGTCTAAGGACCGATTATTAAACTCTCTAGGACAAAGGGAAAACAGATCTTTCACTATGGGGATAAATATAAATTAAAAGAGCTTAAAAAACATCATCATTATTCTGTACCTTAAAAATCTGCTGGGCTCCTTCCTCCATGCGAGGCCACACCTGGTAGCGGAAACGCCACAGTGTGTAAAACTTTAGGATGGAGTTGATGCGCTGGCAGGCCTCATGGTGCTGGAACTCTGCCATCATCATTTCAGTCACGGCATCAGGGACCTTTACTGCACACAGAAGGAACATGGCAGCTGGAGAGGAGTCAGGGGGAGGAGTAGAGAGACAAATAAAAAGCAATTAGTAGTAGAGAGGGTAAGAGAGAGGCCCAAAAAGAGGGATTCAGAAAAAGGGAGAGAAGAGGTAAAAGTGATGGAAGGGAAGTAAACAGGAAGGAAAGTGAAAAAAGATGTGACGACTGTTAGAATATAAAGCTAGTGAATATCAAGGTCCAAATTTTTACACACTATGAGGGTGTCATAATCTGACATGTACAAACCTACAGATAGAGCATTGATGCTCAACTCACCGGCAGCAGCTGCCATATGTTCATCCACACTAAGCAAGAGTTCCCAGGCTGCAGGCTGGATGTCTCCATACATGTCATCAGTCAGGATGGGTGCTGCTTTGATCAGCAGAGAGAGGGGAGCTGGTGACAGACTCATCACCTGAAGGAAACACAGGCAAGTATAGAATTGGCTTAAAGGTAAAATATTGTGAGGAGGAGCACAAAAATAATGTCTCTTTAAAGTTATACTATGTGACATTGTTTTCTTTTAATATTCCTGCACCGGCAACAGTGATTTGTTTGAAATAATTACAACTGTGTAGTTGGTGTCAGCATTATACAATAAACATCACTACAAACCTTAGAAAATTTTGACATTTATGATTTTTGCAAAAAGAAAAAAAAAGCTGCAAAAGTGACACAAAAAACCCAGTAATCAAAATACACAACAGACTAATTTGAAGCTTTATTTATTTTTTGTAATGGCACATAAGATAGCTAGTGTTTGTGTGAAGTGTCTCAAGAATGTTTTAAAAGCTAGTCATCTCTCTGTGGACCAAGATAGAACAAGGTAGATTTTTCTTGTAGTATCATGCAATACCCATCTTTGGCTTCGACTCATTTGGAGAGAACAATAATAACAACAATAATGATGAACTAAAACTATTGACCTGGTTACGAATATACTTGAGCATGCCCGTATCCTTCTTCCCTTCTGTGTTGGGGTCATTGGGCCTTCTCTTCATGGATGGGGTCCTCAGGCAAGACTTGTCAGAACACTGAAGGCACAGACACTTTTATAAAGCATCACCTAAAACAAACTTTAGTGAACCATGTATCCCATCAGTTTTAAAACAGGACAGACAGTTTGTCAGACCAACCTCTTTGCTCTTTTTAACTCGTGCCCCAATGTTTCCGCAAGAAGAGCTGTCCTCTCTCAGGCTGTCTACTGTCTCACCGTACACGAGCTTAATAGCACGGACCAGACGGGCACAGGAGCGATTGTGGTGCTGGTAGCAGCGTGGATGGCAGAAGTCTATGTGTGTACAGATGAAACTCTGCTGGTTGCACAGCAGGATCATAATCTGTGCCAAGAAAGTTGAAGAGAGCAGGATTTAGTCTGTGAGACGTAGCACAGAGGCACAGTATGCACATGTATAGTATGCACATACATGGAGCCATGACATGTTGCGATGGTAGTTGTCCTCTGCTCCGCCTGTACTCTCTGGCTCTATGCTGGGTTCACTCGTGCTGAAGGGACTGCCTGCAGGTAACAAAAGCATGCAAATGTTTAAAATGAGCCATGTAATCCCTTATAAGAGAGGGAATGGTGGTTTGCATTTGATATTTAAGGTGCATTTTCAAGCAATCTAACTTTTTGTGATAAAGAAAAATACTGAATTGTTAACCCAAATCTGACTTGTTTCTCGTCTCAAAAAAACTGCTGTTGCAAATTGTCTGCTGTTATTGTTCCTCCAGCAGTGTTCACTGCCCATTCTCCTGTACAGCTTTAAAGCATATGCATATATGTTTTTCATGGTCTTTTCCTCTTTTAACTGCCTGCCAGTTCTAGAAATTCAGAAACATGGGGCTCTGTTCTCCAGTGGAAGAAAAGCACCCATGTTCTATTTTGTGCTGTAGTAAAAGACAATATTTGTTTCAAACATTTTAATTCATATGATGAACATTATACAGTATGTAACTTTAATGAATGCATGCACCCTTAAAAATACAATCACAGGAAATTAGTAATGGTACTGATTGATGTCAACATTCATTTCATCGATGTCTTACCTATGTCAGTTACAGTGTCCCTGCTTTGTGTCTGTGACAGCAGCCCCTCTTCATTCTCCGACTCAGAATCCTGCCGGGACAGTTTGGTGCTCTTGAGGCTCCCTGCCCGGCGTATGGAGGACAGGGAGCCGCCTTTTTTCACACGAAAGCTGCGAGCCCCTTTAATTTGAAGCAACCGGGAGCCTCCAATACGAATCTTACGGATGGGTGCTGGAGATGTGTGTAGTGGGGGGAGAACATCTATAATTATCAATGAGTGACAAGCAAACACGGCAATAATAAACCAGCGGACTCAGTGTGTGTGGCATCAGGTCTCACCTTGAACTTCCTGGGGCTTCTTCTCATCACAGGTAGTGTCTGACTTCAGAGTGTGGCTGCTGCTGTTGAGTGAATCATGTCCATCTTCGTCATCAAGGATACCTGCAAAGCTGATCTTTCTTTCATAGCGATGGCGACCGAGTTCTGGGTCCAAACGCAGGCGGCAGCTGTCCAAGTCCTACAGCCAATATTTGAGCATCATCAGCTTTATGTACATCCAGTAAATTTATCAGTGCATATTTTGGATTCTAACATATTTTTTGGTCAATTCTTATTGCTATTAGTATCTACTGTTAGAATGACCAAATGGTCTCAAAGATAATTTGTTACCCTTTATTCAGTTTTCATTTTTTAATGAAAAAACATGAAATGCGTGTGTATAGATAGATAGAAGATCTGACTACTGACCACAAGTGGTTCAGTGCGAGGTCGTGGTAAGCAGGGAAAGGTTTCTCGTAGGAAAGTGGTGATTTCCAATAACAGTTGGCAGGCCGCCATCTTCAGAGCAAAGGGGCAGCCGCATTTTGTAGGATTGACTGTGTCTTTGGGGAAATTGATAAAAAAAGTCACTATGTTGTTTTTCTTTTTAACAAATTTCCAGTGATTCCATTGTTGCTCAGTTGTGGAGATAACTTGGTTGTCATGTGAACATAGAAAAATACTGTAGCTTATGTTATGTTTGCAGAAAAATAGCACAAGATGTAGCCAAAAGCTCCAGGAAAAGCTGTTAACTGGACTTTAAAAGCTTTATGATATTTACAAGGCATCTTTATTTTACATGACATATAAAGTAAATTAAAAAAAAAACAATTAGAAGTAAAAAAATTTACAAATTCACATGAATAAAGCTGGCACCATATTTGTGCTAATATTGAATGAATAAACATGCTTAAATTTAATACAATACAGATTTACCTCTGGAAAAAAATCTTATAAAACAATATCCATATGCAGTTCAGGCATTAAGCATATCTTCTGACTCACTGTCATCTAAATAGTCCTCTTCCTCATCTTCTTTTCTCATTCTCCGTTTGGTCTCTTCATCATAAATGTAACCCAGGATGTTCGCAGGGCTCTCGCTGTCTGAGTGACAGAGTTCACTGAGTCTTGTTCCAATTGCCTGAGTAGATTAAACACAAAGATACAAATACTTAAAATTAATCAAGCCTTATTATAATGTGTCACCTTAAATGATCTGCACAGACTGTAACTCACGTCTCCCCACTGGCAGAAATGTTTGGCGGCATTCCACTGAAGTTTCTGGTTTCTTTTGTTTCCCACAATGGGTGATCGACCCCTTGACAGCCCTTTTTTGGTGATATTGACATGGTGGCCTTTCATCCACTCAGGCCAGTTGCCACGGTTACAGCGGTGCACAAATCGGGCACATTCAAGGAAGAGGGAGGCTCGGGCCACAACTGGAGCTTCCTAAAAAACCAGAGAGCAGTTAAAGATTTTAATGGCCTTCACTTCATACAGTTGTACCTCTTAGGATGATCCAGGGTGAAATGTTTATAGTGATGCATTGTGTTCAAAATTAAACATACCAGGTCCAGAGCAGCAGCAAGGATGGAGGCGTCAGGTATGGTTCCTGGCTCACAGCAGTTCAGTAAGAACTGGAAGCGTTTCATTCCCTGTCGAATGGCACCCAGATTCACCACGTTCTTGTTCTTCATGGCCTCCTGACTGGCTGCTAGACGCTCCTGAAAACCATGGGGTCCTGGAGGAGAAAGGAAGAGGAGAGAAGAGTGGAGCACAGTATAACAGAACTGGTGAGCGAAATTTTATGGAAAACAAGCAAATAATCATTTGTGCTTTTTCACGTCAACAGCGGCACTGGAGATTACATAAAGAAACAATACCATCCAGGCCATTTAACAAAAAGCACTGACAAAAGAAGGTGAGTGAGAGATGGACACAGAGCCACTGCAGTGGTTACACTTGGATTTTCAGTTCTGCTTTTACAGTGTGACTATATGGAGGGGAGTGAAAGGAATGTGGATGAGAATACAAATGCAGATCCGATAGCCAAGATCATTTTCAGGACTCTCATGCAATATATTGTATACTTTATAATGGAATCTCACAAATCAGAATGAAATGACAAGTGTAACCGTAGCTGTACAGAAGAAAGCTTTATGTAGACCATTTGTTTTATCACTTCACTGAAACTCAGGCATTGAAAAATACCACCAGACGTCACCACAGAAGAGACGAGAGAGCAGTGACAGCATCATGCTTGATGTAGCACAGAAATGTGCTCTACGGCAGAAAGATGGCTTCATAGAAATGAGACACCACCGTTCCTGTCTTTCAACCTTTAGGTGAAAGAAAAAGGAAGGGGTTAGCATGTGCAGAGTTGGAAAAAAGGGAATGTAGAGTTGGTAATATAACACACAGCTGGAAAGTGTAATGTCAGTTTGGAAAGATCATCATCTAAGATAAGTGCACACAACTGAAGTTTGCCTTGTGAGAACAAAAAAAATCCAATCACATGTCATTTGACATCTAAATCCACTTCAAATTAAGAAATTGGATTTTCAACACATCTGGATGTCTCGCATTGTGATGTTTTTAACTGGCTATTAAATGTAGTAGATTTGTCACAGTTCAAAAAGTCAGTGTACCAATGGTGTGTGTGTGTATGTATATATATATATATGTATATATTGATGTTTTTGTTAACAGAACTTAAGCTTGTGGTAAACAGGTTTACTTTTTATTTTATGAAAGTGTGAGTGCACAAAATGCCAAGGAAATGAAAAGTAAAACTAATGGTCTGTACCAAAATGTGTAATGTATGTAATTTTTGTTAAAATTGATTTTATAAAATTGGTATTGAAAAAAGTATTGTTTAGGAACCAGTACTGAAGTCAAGGTATCGGTAACGATATTGAAAATTTTTAGAAGTTGACTGCAGCTTGTTCATGCCAATCATTCTTAGACAAAGTGTATTTGTATAGATTAGAAACTCTGATAGGTTCAAACAATACATTTAGGCTAGCAGAGCACAGAAGGCAGCTATCCGACTGTAGGAAGGATGGTGAAGGAAAAAACTGGCAGAAGAAGACAGACCACGTCTTGCGAGGCGAGACACGGCACTACAAGGACAAACAAAGGCAGGGACAGAAAGAGTGAGAACAAGACAAAGGACGATGGGGCGTGGGTGGACGAGGGTCACCCTGGAGTGGGAGAGGTCTACCATCTTTCTCTTCTGTGTGGTGAAGCTTGGATGGATTCCTCCTGCCAGACCTCCATTTACCGAGCCGCTTGAAGAAATTCTCCTCCTCATCCCTGCCATACTCTGGCCCTGCAGCGCCCCCTTCTGACAACTTCACTGCACTAGTGAACTTCACCTAAGACATCAACACACACATAGGTTAAATCCCAATTCACTTAAATGCATCCATGTTTCCTTCACTTGCATCTTTTCCTTGTGTCTTAGTGCAGCTTTTAATTGTACAATGCTAATTCCATCAGGATGATTAACCCACCTCCCCTCAAAATCCCAAACAAAATGCCTGGCTAGGAGTGTCTTATAATTCTGTTTTTGTAGAATATAATACAAATCAAACTAATAGGAAAATCATTAAATTATTGCTAATGTGACCTGTATGGGGTGAGGATGGTTTGATTCAGACACTCTTAACACACTATGTTTGCATCCAATGGCAGTGAACAGACCTTTGAGCTCTGCCGTATGAAGGAGAGCCGATCCACTGAGCTGATATCCAGCAGGTCCTCAACACCGTCAGTCAGTCCTGATAGAGAGGAACGCTTCAGCCAGTTACCTGGAGACACAGGAAGTACACAAATGAACTGTTAACATGAAATAAAGTAAGGTATAAAGCCACAAATGCACTGACAAGGCAAGTACACGTGCACTCATTGGAGAGAGGAAGTAAGAACAGACAGGGACAGAGCATTCACTCACCATCACTGCACACTCACTCACACTTAAGGGATACAAGTCTAAATATTCACAAACTAAGATTTATTCAAAAATAATCACATTGTTTTATAATGACTTAAACAAAAGACCTTGGCTGAGTGGTATTTGCAAATACAATTTCATTATACGGTCTCACAGAAGCAGAGCTCAGATCACTATACTGCTCTATAAAGGCAGAAAGCTAAAGCGGTGAAGGTGAGAAAAAGGGTTTTAAAGCATTCGTGTCCTCAAGCTACATGACCTATAGATGGTGTAATTCCTTTATGTAATTCCTTTTGAGCTGATTATTGTACCAAAAGGTATTACTTCCCTAAATATATTATCCTATCCTTATCCCAAATCCAAAAAAAAACTACCAACAGCACTGATTCAACCATCTATTGGCCACTGCTTATTTGGCATGCGGCCGTGGGGGCAGCAGGTTTAACAGAGCAGTTCAGCAACGCTCTTGACAGACACGACAAATACTGCATGTTGTTATTCAGCAGGTTTAACAGAGCAGTTCAGCAAATACTGACACGACAAATACTGCATGAAGATGGTTCCACATCCACACACATAAGACAGAGAGAGTGAATGCTAGGCAAACAGTCCCATGGCATGCTAAGGCACAAAAAGGAACACAAAACAGACCAAAGAGATGAAATGGCCTGGTGAAAGGCGCTGTTCTAGTGTCACACATACAAAATACATCCTGTTCGAGTGGATTTCGAGCTGGGACAGTATGAGGTATGGTCATGAAAATACCAACTCTGATATAAAAAATGAAAAAACACAATCTGGAATCTTGTGTTTGCTTTTTCACCATGCTTTTAGCATAAATTACATCTTTTTTTTTTAGCGCAATCAATCAGAATTCAAATTTTCAGGCCAGTTAGACTTGTTGCATAATGACTGCCCTTACCTATAGGCAGCTTCAGTTTCTTGCGAAGTGAAATGCGTCGTGATCTGGATCGAGAGCGCCGGTCAGTGGTGGTGCCGGAGTGGGCGGTGGTGCACTCTGAGGTGTCCTGCTCTGACTGGCTGCTGGTGTCGCTGGCAGCGCTCTGTGATTTGAACATCTTCCTCCAAAAATCCTTTCTGCCCAGCAGAACACCTGGTATCTGTTCTTCACTAGAGGTACAGAGAGGGAGAGAAGGAAGGAAAGACCTGAATGTTTACATAGGAGGAAATGTCACAAAACAAGTTTAGTGTCACCTTTTACAAATTTGTATATTTTAGTGTAAACGTATTGCTTAGCTCTGTGGCCTGCTCTGGGCTGAAGGGAGAGAGGGTGCTACACTACAGGAGGAGTTTTAAAACTTGTCCTATTTTGAGACAGAAATGGCAGCTGGGCTCAGCATAGATGGTGCTATATGGAGATGCTGTGAGGTGGAGACTCACTGTTCGGGTGTCTGGGGGGGTCTACTGGAGATGTAGCTGCGACACTCATCTGCAGCACTGGACACCTGACCCTTCTCCCCGGACACACCTGCCTCTGACCTGGGCACACACACACCCCGAGACACAGACAAACCGCTCAGGCCACCTGATTTAGACACCTACTGAGCTCTCCTGATGCTGCAGGAAAGCCTGCCAAGGTGGCTCCCCCATGACAACCTGAGGAGTTATTAATCTACTGAAATTAAGTTTAGCATTGATTCTGCTACATATTGTCATTGAGTCTATTGGTGTTTGCCAACCTGAGCTCATCTGTGATGCCCGTCTGTTCCTTACTGATTTATGAAGAAACAAAATCCTAAATTAAAGCAATATGAAAGTAGAAGATTTGTGTTGTTTGACTTTATTCATCCTGTGGGGAAAATCATCCTCTGCATTGACAATTCGTTGTATTGGCTATTCATACTCTACATATTCAAGCCATTTGCCCCATTCAATTTGAATTAAAATACTTCATTTTTTTAATATCCAATACTGCAGTTTATTATTAACATTTCTTAAGCCCTGTTTAAAGGTAAAGTCCAATTTTTAAAACAAATTAGTGTTAATTTGTAAATGGTACGTTCACCACAATTGTCACTTTTTAACTGTTATAAAACAAATGTTATAATTCAAGAGACAGGCCAGTGACTCTCCAGAAATATTCCTCATCATCCTCATCTTTTGAAGAGGACACAGCTCTTAGAAGAGCAAAGCATGCAAACTCCACACATACACCTCCAGTCACCCATTGCTCATCTTGTCAGTTTTGTTGTTGTATTTGGTGCCATTATAAATAACTTGCTATTTTGTAATGTTCTGATTAAAGTGTCTCATCTTAAAGCAGTACCTTTTAACTTACTATAGAGTGCCACAGATTCGCAGTCAGCTCAGTTAACCAGAACAAACAGCTGTGTTTTGTATGTCAGCTACTATATGCTAGTGGACCTGGATGACTACAGGACCTGGACACTGCGTATGGAGCACCTCCACTTCAAGGCCAGAAATGATGTGACTTAGCCTAAAAGTAAACATGAACCATTTTAATGATTTGTCCTGTGGTGGTCAAATGATGAGGGCTGCCCAGTGCACTACAGTCAAATTATCAAATCAAATAAACATCAAATCAATCACTCGAGCTGGAAAAACAGATGCAGACAGTACAAAACAAAACATAAAAAAAGAAAAAGACCAGCAGTGATGAGAAGCGTAGCTCTGATTTGTCAGAAAAGGGGAGTCCTTACTGTACACAGTCAGGTACTGTGACTGCAAATATTTTGTTACCTCTTAAAGCGAGATGATTATAAATTCTATGCTCAAGGGGTAGTCACTGAGAGTAGAACATGGATTTTTACTGGTTCATTCAGACCATTTCTGGCATCTGACTGGCCAGTACCTCCTGGGTCCGGGCTGTTTGGTCTCTTCCTTCTCCTCAGGTTTCTTGGTGGTGGTGACCTTCTCGGCACTGTCCAGGAGTGCACTCAGTGCCACCCTGCGGAACACGTTTCCATGGGCCTCCTTAATAAACTGCACCAGCTGGCGGATGTCACAGTACAGCCCCTGGGAACAAAGAGGGTGACAAAGTGAGAGCGAGGCATGTGTGAGACAAATGGTGTGTGAACAAGACTGTGTCAGCAGAAGAAAAAAGGGAAAACGAACAGCTAGGACTTAACCAGACCGATATTGTTTTGCAGTTAGCATCAGTGTGTATATTTGGACATGTACAATATATATCATAAAGCATGGTGTGCAGGAGCTTGCTCAAGTCTGTCAAGGCACCAGCTCCAGCTTGTGAGTGGGTGTCCTCTGATTCTGTGCCATAATAAAGCCTGCCTTATAAAGTGTGTCCCTTTCTGACAATGTACACAAGTCATGTCAGGCCTGAGGCTTTCTCAGCCTTGTTTAACGACTTCATCTCTGCTGCATGTCTGTTTTACATTACGTTTGTACTCCATACCATGTACTCACCGCCGTGAGCAAACAAAATTGGAAACTGTTAAATAAACTGAATATATAAATTTGGCAGGCATAAATGGATCAGCATCTTCTTTGTAATGGTCATTACTGGACATTCCAAGAGATGCGCTTCCAAAAACCTTCCCTCAAGTAGAAGTCTAGTGAAGCCATTGTGTTTTGAATTTTCACAGTAGAACCAAAGTCCCAGGAAGATTAGTCTCTTTTACTTTTTAAGCAAATGAAATTTGCCTATTTTTCAGATAAGTTAGTCAAAAATATCCATATAAATAACATATGAAAAAGGATTTTTCCTTTATTTCCTTTACCATCGTATCTATTATCTTATTTGTGCATTCACGTTTTCATAACATGTTATTCTTATGCAACTTTATTTTTAGACTAGGTGTTCTTTTTTTGGCTTTTAACTCTTTACTTAACTCCAAGAGAGCCCTGCACAAGAATTTCTATATGCTTAAACTGTCTGTTTATGCATAAATGGAAAATAAAAATCTTGAGTCTATTTATTTTAAATCTGTTACAATAAGCAGTTTTACATACTGTGACAATTTGATATTTACCACATCATTTAAATTTCTTCTCACCTTTAAACATGCATATTACATAACATTACACTGATTAATTTGACACTACTAAAATATGCAAGTTTGATAAAACATGCTCTAGAAAAAAAACAGGAAATGACTGAAATTAAGCTCATTTCATGCAACATCATGTATGACAAAGCCCCAACAAAAGCAGCATGTGTTACTGGTCTTATTTGGACTCAGTATAAAATGAGCCATTAATAACTCTACTAGTTGGTGTGATGTCTAACGGGAATACAAGTGATATGTTAAACACAGGCTGAACTTTGAGAGAGAGAGAGACTGACAATAAACAGAAAGAGGCCGACAGGCAAATGATCTGACACAACACTCACCAGGTTCTCAGGGCTGTGCAGTTCATGTGTGGTTGAGGCGCAGCGGGTGATGAGGGACTTGAACATGCAGCCCACCACCACTGCCTCCATATTCTGGGCCACGGACTTGTTGTCCCCAGTGGTGAAGTTGTTCCCGAAGCCCGCCTTGTCTGGAAGCAACATGGAGGCGGGACAGACGACGGATCACACAGTGGGTGGTTTAGTCAGCGGGGGGACAACATTACTGACAGCTGACCAGCTCGAGTATAAAACAGTGAGCCCATACAACAGGGAGGGAAGGGGGCAGGTGGGGCAAAGGAAAAGGGTTCATAAAGCATATGAGGAGAAGCAAACTGAAAAAGATTCTTGGTAGGGGAAAAGAAATACATGCAAGTGACTAAGGCCTGCTACAAAAACTTACAGTAGAAAGCTGATTCTTTTGGTCCAGCTTAATGGAATGCAAAAAACATAAGCTCTATGAAGACCAGGTTTAATCATACAAGGCCAAATTTTGGAGTTGCAGGCGAGTTTTGTCACTTTTGGGCACAGTCAGGGGTGCAGCAATGGAAGCGGTGCCTAGGGAAGGGTCTGATCAGGTGAGTATCTTACTGTTACTATTATTGACTGTTATTGATTATTGATCATGTGTATCTACCGATGTTTCTTTTTTTCGCCCTCCTGGACCTCTCACCTGCACTGCCGTACTCTGCAAGAGAAAAGAGGCGGGGCACAAGTTGATTGACATCAGGCCAGCACAGACATGTACGCGGTGTCAGAAAGGACATGGCACCCCACCTCCAGACAGAGGTGAACTCAAGACACACGCACACAAGCGCGCACACACACACACAGACAGACTACCACGTGCGACAATAACACAAGGTGCCCTGTTCACTTTCAGGATTAAAACACTCATCAGTTCAGTAACTTGCCAATTGCATCATATTTTGTATGATGAGACTGTGCTGACTGCAGTTAGCATGAACAAAGTTCTTCAAATGTCAGTGCAAAACTGAATTGGCATGTACAGTGTGTCTCAGTATTCAGCAATAAAGCCACTGATTGAGCAGCGACGTAATGGGCAAAGCATTGGATTGGCAAGTGTACAGAATGGATGAGTCAGTAAAGAAGGCAGGATTCAGCTCATTGAAGTGGATGAAGAAAAAGAGGCAAGATGGAAGCAGGAGGACGACGAGAAAAGGAACACAGAGAAGCACAGACACGTGGAAGAAGGAAGGGAGCAAAACAGATATATAAGAGATAGTGCTGGAATGCAAAGTCAAAGTGCGGAGTGAGACAGTGATAGGACAATTCAGCTTTGTCAAACGTGCTAGAAAATTTCCCACTTTTTATTCTAAACTGTGTTAAAATGTTGTATCCACAGCAAACCTCTGAGGGTGATCTACTGTAGAACTGAATAGCTACTGTACCAAAAAAATAAGTTTGCTTGCATGTAAATATCTGCATATTAGTGCTGAACTGATTAGTCAATTAATCAGCCATCATTTTGAAAATCCATTAGCTGGATTTTGAAAATCCATTTATCAAGCAAAACTGCCAAACATTCACAGCTTCCAGCTTCTCAAATGTAAAGAAATCACTGCTTTTATTATTGTCAATTGAAAATCTTTGGATTTTGTAATATTAGTCAGCCAAAACAAGAAATTTAATGAGAAATCATATTGACTTCAAAGAAAGTGTGTGGCTCTAGGCAAAGCAATGACAGTTGGTCAATCCACCACTACTGAATACAGTAGGTTGCCATGACTGTCCAGACATTCACTGTCCCCAGAGGAAGACAAACTGTAACAACTGTAGAGATCAAACTTTTTACCTATAGCCATCATTTGAAAAAAATCATCCAGTACTCTGGGTCAAGGTAAAAGTAAAAGTCAGCATGGGGAGAAAACTCCCTTTAATTGAAGAAATCTCTTCAACCTCTGCCGGCTCTTGGTGGGCGGCCTTCAGCCTATAGTGTTAGCATGGTCACTTTTTTAGCTGGTTTGATTGAGCCTGTTTGCATGTTAGCATTTGCTACTTAACACTAAGCCAAAACAAAGCTGTCGCTGATGGGAGTGTTGTTAGATTTGCAGGTGACATGCTATTTGCTAACAAGGGGGTAAGCATGTACCGGCTAAATGTCAGCATGTTAGTATTGTCACTGTGACCATGCTAGAATGCTTTACCTCAAGTACCATCTCACAAAGCTGCTAGCACAGCTGGAAACTTGCTTACTTTTGACTGAATGATTAATTGAAAAATTAACTTTTTAAACTACTCAATAATAAAAGAAATCATTACTTGCAGCACTAACATAATAAACGTTAGGCAGCATTAGTCCTAAACAAGTTTTTCCAAATCCTGATCCGGATCAAATCCTTTTTTAAATTTATTATCAGTGCATTTTCACATTTTTAATGTATCACAATCTGTATCCTATCCCACTCACACAATACTTACTGTCAGTAATGGGCTCCATGCAGAAGCCCAGCAGCGCATGCAGGAAGTCCACTATGTTATTCAGTGAGTCTTTGTTGACATACTCCCGCATTGTTTGACGAAACTGCAGCTTGTCCAGCTTATACAGGTTGGTCAGGCAGTTCTGGGCCTGAAAGTAAAGTTTTGGCACATGAAAGATATCAATTGCCATGGCAGCATTTCATTTCGCCTTTACTGCTTAATCTAATAATAAAACATATTCATCTGTATTGTAATAGAACTGCAGCTGCTTCTCATTGAAGATAAAAACCCATCTCAGGATTCATTTCAGTTTCATTAAAATTTTATCATGTTAAAAAGGCAATAGCATTAATAATTCATAGGAAATCAGGCATCCAAACTGCACACATGCACAGAGGTAGAGAGTCTGACCTGCATTCGGAGGCGATCTCCTGACAGGCCACGGTGTCCCTCACCACAGCCATACGCACAGCCCAGAGATTTGACTATCTTTATCAGCATGGTCAGAGCCAGGCGATGAGTGCTGAGGCCAGAGCCTTCTTCCTGTTCATGGTAAGTACAGGGGTTTGATTTAGATCTATTCACTGCAGACATCCTCTACAGTTACAATTTCTATGATCCACTTCCAGAAACGCATTTTGAACACACCTTTTTATCATTATCCTTGTTATTCTTCACGTCATCCTTGCTCCCCTGCCCACTTCCTCCACCACTTCCACCTCCTCCCCCTCTCCCCCTGCTCCTGCCCCCAGAACTGCCCCACCTCCTTGCACACCTCCTCCGAGGCCCTGACCAGCCGGGTCTTTGGCTCGCGCCTCCTGGTTCTCCTTGTTGTCAGGCTTGGACGGTTTCTTGCCCATGCTGGGCACCACGCCTAGCTGCAGCAGGCAGTCAATGATGTTTAGGGCCACGTCACAGATCCTTGAGCTGATGTCATGGCTGAGGACAGCATAGAGAGCCCGCAGCACAGACTGGAATACAAGGGGAAAGGGAAAGGAGTGAGGAAATGTGGATGAAATTATATTTGTTATCACTGTCATGTTTAATTTGCAAAAGAAACAAGCAGCAACACCCTGCAGTCTCCAAATCCTTTATGGGGACTGGCTGGGCATTTAACTTTAATAGGAATGACTGGCACATGCTTTCAACTTAAAAGGCAATGCGATTCATCACACAGATGCAAACAATTCTGCAGTTCAAAAACACATTCATGAACCAGGCAGAATTTTCTTGGGACCTTTCTTAAGAACAAATCTGAGAAAAAAAGCTGCCATTAACTGCATTTGGCCACAGGGGTAATTTACGGTTTCAATGACTGACTGAACACTCACAGTGAGGTCCAACATGCCGTTTTTCAATACAAAGTTGTTGGTCCCTTCGATGTTCTCCCCCTCCTCCAGACAGGAGTAGTTGATACAGGAGTCGGTGAGGCTGCGCGGCAGGTTGGTGCAGGCCAGCGGTTCGACGGGGATCTCAGGGACTGCCACAGGGTTGCACAACTTCTTCATGTGCTCCGTGAAAAAGTCAGCGTAGCCCACATTGAAGGATGCCACTGTGGTGTTAAACGCTGCCATGGTGATGGTGGAGATCTGAGATCGCACTGTATAGAGAATGAATGTCACTTTCGGCTTTTTCCCGTTTAGGGGAAATCGTCACACTGACGACTCGCATGTAGACATTTGGCACGTGTTTTACGCCGGATGCACTTCCTGATGTAACCCTAATGTTAAATGTTAAATGTTCTACTGAGTTTTAACTCTATTACCGAGTCTTTCCTTTATTTCTACTCAAATTATATTTACATTATAACACAGAATCTGAGGTCATCATGGGGCATAAGAGGAAAACCAATTGAATATTTATGGCTAATTTGAATGACTGGTTTTGACATTCCTGCACCACCTGTTTACAGTCACACTCCAATTCTTAGTTTGACTATAGCTCTGCTGCCATCACTGCTACTGTAAATGTTTTAACTATTTGTATTCTTCATATAATCCAGGTCTTTACCAACAATAATTAAATATATAAAATAATCAAAGAATATTTCTCTTTGTGTGGCAGGAATCTACACGCACCCAATTTTCTCAAAAATATACCTGATGTAAAGACTTAAATGCATGAATTTCTAAAAATAATCACACTAAGCTGTTACTGAAAGCTGTGCCTTCAGAGGTGTAAATTCATTTAGCTTGTGATTGAGTTTTGATTCTATTCTATTGTCCATCTATCTATCCATCCATCCATCCATTTTCCTTCGCTTATCTGGAACCGGGTCGCGGGGGCATTCTACTGATCATGTATAATGTCAGAAGCTATAATTACCTTCTGTTGTCAGTAAACTGAATAGCAATGGAATGCATGTCAGCACTATTATTTGTATGTAAATTAGCTGCTCTGGCCTTAGCAGAACCAGCAGAAACTGTTCTTTTATTAACATGATGAATAGTAATATGATTGTAGTTTGCATCTTACAGATGTTTGTAATTTGACTATTTTATTTTCATAAAAAACTGTCCAATATCACTCTGTCAGCCTTTCTAGGGAGCCTCACAGAACATCTCATCATGATCATGGATTTGACTATATGAATGCTGGCTCTTTTCTTATCAAAAAAGTCTTCTGTTTCTTATGGTTTCCCTTCAACTAACACAAGAGCTTTCAAACTGTGTGAATTGCCTTAATTTTCTGTTGATTTGTTAGAAATTTTACACAGATCAGTGAAAATTGCATCTGCACATCTGTTCATGTTTAAGAAACCCATTTAAGTGCTGTATATCCTTACCCTCTTTCACGGTGTTGTCGCTGTGGCTGTTGGAGTGGTCGGGCATGTCTCTGAGCAGAGAATGATGAGAATGAGAGTGTTTGGCACTTAGGCTGTCTGCATCTGCAGCTGTGTCTGTGCTGCCCCTCCGGGTGAATTTGCCTGGAAAGTGATATACAGTGGGTATGGAAAGTATTCAGACCCCCTTAAATTTTTCACTCTTTGTTATATTGCAGCCATATGCTAAAATCATTTAAGATCATTTTTTTCCTCATAATGTACATACAGCTCCCCATATTGACAGAAAAGCACAGAATTTGACATTTTTGAAGATTTATTAAAAAAGAAAAACTGAAATATCAAAAACTGAAATATCACATGGTCATAAGTATTCAGACCCTTTGCTGTGACACTCGTATATTTAACTTAGGTGCTGTCCATTTCTTCTGATCATCCCTGAGATGGTTCTAAGCTGCAATATAACAAAGAGTGAAAAATTTAAGGGGGTCTGAATACTTTCCGTACCCACTGTATATTAGGATAACTGCACACACATACAGATTCAAACACACACATATAAAAATGGCACCTAACTGTTTATGAAGACAAAACCTGGACAACAGAGGCTGTTTTTATGCGACGACCTTGTGACACCAGTTTCAGGCATTGTTATGTGTTATGTTTTAGCTTTGCTTCCTGTTTTTGGGCTTTTATTTTGGTTTTCTTTCCTGCTCCCCTCCACCTCTCCTGCCCCAGCTTTACCACAGTTTCAATCAGCGTTCATTGTTTTCATCTGTTGCTAATCATTCCCTGGTCTTCAGCCTTATATACCACCTTCTTTCCCTCAGTCACTCGCTGGTCCATTAACTTCACTCCTGAAGTTACCACGTTCTTGATACCTTACGAGTTTGCTTTGTTGCTCTCACCATGTCCAGATGGTCCAAGTAACGTTTTGTTCCTGAAGTTCTCTAATTCTGACGACAGCCAGCATGTGACCCGTAACCTCTGAACTCAGCGGACCTGCTCCTCAATGCCGAGTAAGTCCACTCCTGATCTATGACTACACTCATCTGTGCTCCACGCTGCTGCCTGGCTAGCTCTTGTACCTCTCACTCAGATTACCAGTTCTCCTTGATGAACAGTGAGACATCTCCTGACCTGTGACCTTACTCTCTTGTGCTCCTCAACACTGCCTGGATAGCTGTACCTGTACCTCTCACACAGCTACCTGTTCCCCTTGATTACCCCTCTATGTCCTACGTCTTTCCCTGACCTGTGACTGGGCTTACCTGTGTCCCATGATGTGGCCTGGCTTTCTCCTGCACCACTCCTTCAGCTTACCTGTTCTCTTGGTCCCTGATCCGACCACCACTCACCTGGGTTCTTTACCTCCTCTAGAGACTCTAGCTACCCCGACCACTCTCCTGCCTACTTGACTCACCTGTGTGTTCCTAGCCCCGCAGCTCCGCTCTGCCCTGCCTGCCTGCTCCGCCCTGCCTGCCCCATCTCATCTCCAGCTCCACCCTTCCTGCCTGCCACCCCCATTGCTTGTACTCTTTTTCTATCAATAAAGACTTTCTGGTTTTTACTGAGTCCTGGTCTGCATTTTGTGTGGGCACTGTAACAGTACGCAGCTGCAAAATGAGTTCAGTCACTGATTTCTCTGGGCAGACTTAAAGTTTTGCTAAAGATACATCACCATCTATCTACCAATGTCAGGATGTTTATTAGGTTTATTTTTAATTTTTTAAAATATTTGCTGTTTTATGATATGGGGTTTTGAATTGTATTCTGAAAATGTCTTCCTGAGAACAGGGCTAATCTGAAGCAGCAGCTGTATGGATACTTTGGCGAAAGGTGGCAGTGGCGTCATGGAAAGCCAGCTTTAAAAAGTCACTGACTTGGCAAGATAAAAATATCTGTGTGTCTTAAGCAAATATTAACACTTCTCTGAGGGAGATAAAATGAATTCTGCAATGTTGATGAACTGACCTAATTCACTAACTGACAGAATCCTGTGATTCACCAAATGGGAGCTTCATGGAGAGAAAGCTAGACTGCAAATTGGTGACGTACAATCTATTCTGAGTATGAGCACACACTACCTACCCATGATTGTGGCCTGCCAGCCCCCGCGGTCCAGAGCCCGCCGATCGTCACCCAGGCCAGAGAAGCTTCCGAATGAAAAAGTGCTGCGTGTGGGCGAGACATCCAGGTGGTCGTCATGAAGCAGGAAAGGAACCCCCATCCGCCGCTGGCGCTTCTTTCCTGCATGATGGAAAGGAATGGAGCCCTTCCTCTCACGGTCCTCACGCCGGTTCTTAAACTGAGACCAAAACAATCCTTTATGTACCCTTGAGATTTGCTTTGCCTTTAATCTTGGTTAACTGGACACTGATATGAAGTGGGAATGAAAATAAAGCGATCTGGAGACACATTTGATTTATGATTCAATAAACAACTCAATTTTAAAAAGTGGCCAGAAAATAATACCAAAGGAATAATTTCTTATTTCTGACCCAGCTGATTCCACCTTCTTTGTCATGATCCATCACAAACTGCCTGTACTGTGATATTCTGATTAAGTATTAGCATGTTTGTATGAACAAACCCCATCTGGATGACTGACCTTCTTAAAGATGCTCATGCCCAGGTCAGAGGAGAGGTCAGGAACCGCCTGTCGACGGAGGTTGGTCAGAGACACCTTTGTGAAGGTCTCTGTGCTCAGAGATTTGCCCTCTTCATTGCATTTCAGACTCATATCCTGCAAAACGCAGCAGAGGACAGAGATAACATGACAGTCAATGCAGCACAGGCATCAGAAAGATTATATAAATGTGTCTCAGCAAGAAAACTTGACATAGTGCTTCAGTGGTTTATTTGATGTTGAGACCATTCGACCATTACTCCAATCAGTTAACATGTAAAATGGTGTCTCAAGAAATCCAGGAAGACTCCTCACCGTTTTTCTGCCATTACCTGGGTCTTGTGAGTGTTGACCAGTGAAGGTGTTGCAGCCACCATGGAGCTGCTGCGTGGGCGTGGCAGAGGCATAATCAGCGGTTCGGGGGTGCGTTCAGGTCTCTCCTCCAGGATCTGCCGCAGGCGATGAAGGTAGTACATCAGAGCCCAGTGTACACCTTCCTCTGCCCAGTGTGGCTGCAGCAGGCAACGCAACACTGCCACATCAAAGTAGGTGGCATAACGTGCTTGCTGGGCCAGAGATGCTGGCAGGCCTGCAGGGGCAGACGTCCTAGAAGGAAGAGGAAAAGACCAGGTTTTCACTTGTTAGATCCATAGTACCTTGTTGATCAAGACAAAAAAACTGATTCTTCTTCTCAGAGTCATAATGGTAAATGGTCTTATACTTGTATAGCACCTTTCTATGCTTTACCGCACACTCAAAGCACTTTCACATTATTCGGCCATTCACCCATTCGCACTTGCAAGCACTCACACATTCACACACTGGTGACATCACCGGGAGCAACTAGAGGTTTAGTGTCTTGCTCAACGACACTTGACTGGACAAGCCGGGAATCGAACCGCTAATACTCTGGTTAGGAAACGACCTGCTCTACCTCCTGAGCCACAGCCGCTCCCCTCGCTTCCTGAAAAGTGTTCTCCAGAACGGTGTCGGTCACTATGTCTGCCAGCTAAATTGAATTTCCAGCATCTTCTCTAAAAACGCTAATCAAATGAGCATGCACATATAGATTGAATTACTGCAACCCATTTGTTCCAGTTTTCCCCATGTCAATCAAGGATGAGGTTCATAAATTTAATTACTTCAAACTCACAAGTAATCTAGTAATATAGACAAAATGCCAAGTTAAATCTAACTTATACAGTGGGGCAAATAAGTATTTGACACACTGTCAATTTTTCAAGTTTTCCCACTTACAAAGGATGGACAGTTCTGTAATTTTCATCGTAGGTACACCTCAACTATGAGAGACAGAATCTACTAAAAAAATTCCAGTAAATTCCATTAGATTTTTAAATAATTTATTTACATTTTATTGCATGAAATAAGTATTTGATACAACAGAAAAATAGAACTTTTGTTTACAATTACAGAGCTCAGACGTTTCCTGTAGTTCTTGACCAGGTTTGCACACACTGCAGCAGGGATTTTGGCCCACTCCTCCGTACAGGCCTTCTCCAGATCTTTCAGGTTTTGAGGCTGTCGCTGGGCAACACAGAGTTTCAGCTCCCTCCATAGATTTTCTATTGGGTTCAGGTCTGGAGACTGGCTAGGCCACTCCAGGACCTTGAAATGCTTCTTACGGAGCCACGCCTTAGTTGCCCTGGCTGTGTGTTTGGGGTTATTGTCATGCTGGAAGACCCAGCCATGACCCATCTTCAATGCTCTTACTGAGGGAAGGAGGTTGTTGCCCAAAATCTCG